TGTCCGAGCTTTTCCTCGACTCTCTCGCTGTCAGCCCTCGCGGCTTCTTCAGTGATTCAGCGCTCTCGGCCCGTCGGTCGTCGCCCCCCGCGGCGTTGCCCCTGGCGCGCGCGGGCCGAATCAATCGATCGCGAGAGCCAGCCCTTGGCATAGACGCAGCGGCGCTCTGTTCCCGATGCTTTCTCGCCTGGCGTCCCTCGCCATCTTTCCCCTGAAGTCTTTCCTCGGCGTCGCTGTTCCTCGCGGCTGGGCCCCCCGCGCGGCGGCGCGCGCGCATCTCGCCATCCTATGCGCAGTGCTCGTCGTAAGCGCATTTTTTGGTATCGGGGGCTGTCGCGCGTGGCTACCTTGGAGCGCTGGAAGCACCGCGGGGCCGCGGATTGCGCCCCGAGTTTCCGCGCGAGGCTGGGCGCCCAGCCGCTGTCGGCGCCGGCGATGGCGCGGCGGGCGCTGCCGCCGCGCTCGCTTGGGCCGCCGACCCCACCCCTGCAAAAGTTGCTGAAGATGCCCCCCCGGACGGCGCGCCTCGTCTCATCTGCGAAGTGATTATCCCGGAGGTGCGCCTGGCGCTCGGAGGCAACTGCGATTTCCAACCTGCTGGCGAACTCTGTCATTTCCTCTGTTGCCACGGAAGCCTGTTGAGCCGCCGCCGCCTGCTGGCGCCCCCCCAGGCAGCGCGCGGCGTTCGGCTCCAACTGCAGGGCAGCAACCGCTTGTTGTTGCAACTCCAACTGTCCTAATTCCTCGCGCATTTCCGCAAGGTCTCTCCCCCTTCTATCCGTGATCTCGAACCTCTGTCTTTCCTGAGCTTCGCGCCGGCCGTTCGCGCGCCACCCAGCGCAGTCGCGCGAGCCAGGCGCGGCGCGCGCCGGGCGTGCGAATTTCAAGTCGCAGAGACCGAAGATGTCAGCACACTCGAAGCAGACAGGCGCCGCGATCCCGGCGCGACGGTGCACGTCGGTCCATACTTGGCACACTTGGCGTTCATGCGCACGCTGATGGCGCTCGATCTGCCCGATGGGTTGGACATACTAGATACCTCAGATCGCGGTATTGGGGCCCTGGGCCCGCCCCTCTCGGCGCCCCTTTTGCGGGTCGGGCGGGTCGGTGAGTCGGGCGCCCCTGATATCGAGGTCGTTACTCTTTGACTCGTCTGAGAAGGGCGCGGCGGGGCCCGGGGGCGCAGCTCCCGGGCTTCTCCGGAAGAGCGAAGTCAGGGAACTCTGGGATACCGCCGGATCTGATTCGCGTCCCGAATGGCGAGGTTGTTGAAAGACTAAGATGTTCACGTCTCTGCTTGCTCGTCGTCCTGATAGGACCGCCCACGAGCTCCTCCTCTACGATTTCCTTCAGATTCCGCTCCAAAGAATCGCCCGGTGGAATCGCGGCATCCTCGCCGCGCGCGAGCGGCACCTGCGCAGAAGGCTGAAAGTCACCCAATGGAACAGGAGACGCACGGTCAAAGACCTCATCGTCCCCACCGCGTGGCCGATGACCATCGCGAATGCCGATGGGTCTGGGCGTCGACCTGCAAGAGAAATTTTCCTCCGACGAAATCGACTCCACGTCGCGCTCGTCGTCCGAGAGGTGAACGGGGGCGTCGGGCTGGTCACCGATTGGCACGGGGCCCTCTTCATCTCCTCCGTCTCGGTCGTGGCGCGCGAAGCCCTGAATCTCCGGAGTGCCAGAACGAGGCCCGTCATCGAGTGAGAGTTTGCAGCAGATCTTGGAGGGGGGGCGTCGGCTCGCTTCCCCGACGGAGTCGGCAAGATCTATATCAGGAGCATCCACGCTCATGCAGTGGCGCGGTTCTTCGTTAGGTCGTACATCATCCTTGGACGGTCAGAAAATAGTTCCCTCATCTGGCAGAAACACTGTCATCGAACAGATCACTTTCGGTCGATCACCAACTTGACAGGCAATATGTGATCATATTCGTATCGTGTCTGTTATTCTTCATTTGTTCCTGTAGTCGTCTCTGGTTCAAGTTTAACTTGTGCATGGATGATGTATCCCTAACAACCATGGCTACATTCGTGCAATCGTGTCCGATTTGGCTGACAAAATAGGCAAGAGAAGGCCCGGCCGGCTGGGGGAGGGCACCTGGGAAGGCGCACGCGCGCGGCGGGCGGAGCGCTGTCCTCTTTTGGGCCAACACACAGCTTCGGTCGCATAGCTGTGCGTCAGGGAAGGGCACGGGGGGATGACCAAATCAACTGAATTGTGGAATGTTGTCTTTCAAAATAAAGCTCTCGCCCAGCCGCCGCGCGCACTCATGTGATGATGCAGAGTTTAGGAGGATGGAGGACAATTCTGAGTAACATGGGACTCTCACCAGAAAATGCCTTCTGCCGCTTAAGACTTCCTCGGGACTCATGCCCACACGTGAAAATTTGTGGAACAATTGCACGGACGGGTGGGCGGTCCATTTTCGATAAGGGTGATCTCGCACGACACCTCGTTGAACTGTCCTCTGGCGTTCTTGAATGTGCGTCGAAATATGGCAAGGCACTTCCTTGTCAAAGCGGGGCCCTTGCCTAGATGGCAGGCCCAACTGAGTTGGCCTTTTCTCGGGGGCAGGGGGGGGCGCTGCTTGTACTGAACAGGAACTCTTGTAGGGACATGTGATGAGGGGACTCGGGACGGGAGTGTGCATTGCAGCATTGCTGATGCACTTCGGTCTACTCTGGACCCTCGTCGTCGTCGTCGTTCTCCTCCCCTTTTTCCTCCTCCTCCTCCTCCTCCTCCTCCTCTTCCTCCACCACCTCCTCTGCATCACTATCCTCCTCATCCTACTCCTCCTCTTCATCCTCCTCCTTCTCATCCCCTGTCCTCTTCGTCCTTCTTCGTTTGTTTCTCCTTCCGCCGCTCCTCCCCTTCCACTACCACTACCACCACCACCACCACCACCTCATCATCCTCCTCCCACTTCTCTCACTCTCTCTCGCTCTCTCTCTCTCTCTCTCTCTGTCCCCTCCAGCCCCACCTGCCCTTCCCTCACCCACGTCTTTGCCCTCCCCCCCACTGGGGGTCTGAAGCTGCGCGTTTGAGGAGGGGGGCGGCCCGGCCGCCGCCCCCCCCCTCCCGCGGGAACTCGCCCGGTGGGCTTTCTGCTGCGAGGACGGCTGAAGAGGCGCGTAAAGGCGGCCCAAGACACCCTCAAGACGGCCCACGACTCCAAGACGACCACACGGAAGTTAAAAGAGCTCGACACTTCCCACGAGCCTTCGAGGGTAATTTCAGATGGCCTCCAGAAGCTCCTTGACTGCCCCAAGACGGCCCAAGACCCTTTTCAAAAGGACTCCCAAGAGGGCTCGAGGAGAACAACAACATTGATTTGCCTTAAGACCACTTATATGTTTTGCATCTATGCTTCTTGGGTCTGAACAACGCCCAAGACGGCCCAGTGTTGTTCAAGATCGCCCCGTGACGTCTCAGGATGCTCCCAAAACGGCCCCACGATATCCCCAACCAAGACGGCCACAATAATAGCCCAAGACGGCCACAAGAAATCCCCGACATGGTCATAAGACACGCTCCACAGAGCCCGACGCGGCCCGAAAAGGGGCTCTTAATCGAGTCCGAGAAACACATTTGCTGATTTTCGGGAAGTTTTGCCAGATACAAAAGTCCCCCCACGACGGCACAATAACGGATGCAGCTTCGACGCCCAAACTCCCGCCCTTAGACGGCCCCAGACTCCAGCAGGAACGCCGCTACACGACATCAAATATAAGGGTCGGCGGAGGTGGCACAAAACTTTAGAATAAACCCTGGACCCTGGGACTCCCCCCCGTGAACTAGCTTTTGTATTTCCTTTGGAAACTTTAACGGGACGGCCAAAACCGGAAAACTGGGAAACACCTTCAAACACCCGTTTCATTCATGCTGCCTCCTCCCCCGGTGTCGGAATGAGCCATAAAACCGCGGTGCCCATGCACGAGCGCTGCCCGAGCGCTGCCGGGCCTGTGAAGCCCGTGGTCTGGTGTCTCGGCGGGACAGGCAGGCGCCGGGCAGGGGCTCCCCCGGGCCCCGAGCCCTCGGTCGGCGGCGCGCGGGGGCGCCCGACAGGCTTCACGCTGGACGCGGCAGGCACGAGAGGGGGAAGGCGGGGGGGCTTGCGCACGACGACGCTGCGACACTGCGCGGTCCCTCACGCAGATTCGTCGGCGCGGCGCACCGTGCGGAAAAGAGGGCGCTTACGCACAACCCTGCGCGGGCAGCTCACACGCGACCGTCGGCGATGTCCCCTTTGCTTAATTAAATCGCCCACCTGCGGCCCGCCACCCTTCAGCGAGGTCTTCGAAGGTTGGACGGGGGTCCAAGAAGATTCCCCTAGAGCCTGGGCCGCGGCTGACATCGAATGCCATCGGCACTACCTCCATTTTCAGCGACGGACCAGTCCTGCCGTTTCAGCCGCCACCTCATGCTGGTTGGCTTTCTCTGCGCCTGTTGGCCCATCAGGCCTAAAAGTTCCATCGCGGCCGTGACGTTCCACTTCGCAACTCCTTGCGCGCGCTACGTAAAAGGAGCCCACGTCTGTGCACCACCCAACTTAGCCGAGACTATTGTGGTCGCGACGTTCGCCTCCTTCAGAGGGGGCACAGAAACCTCCTTCAACGCCCGCGTGGTTCGTTGGCCATGGACCCCAAGACTACGTCGCAACTCATCCTCCTCATTCTCCGCGGCGAGGGGCGCAAACCTCGCGCTCTTCAAATGGGTGCCAGCGCGTACCTTCTATGCTCTGCGCCGGATCCCCAGGGGCGGCCATCGCACGCTGCATGCAACAACCATCCCCAGGGGTGGAAGGACGCGCTGGCCTGGGCTTATGCCTGGTGCCACTGGGGAGCTCGGCCGGAAGCGCGAGGAAAACGTAGCCGGCCTCCTCCTCCTCCTCCTCCTCCTCCTCCTCCTCGGCGTCCTCCGGGGAGCGCTGTCTGACTGCCTACTCCAGCTCGCTGCCAACGCTTCACCGCGGGGGCCGCCCCGCCCCGCCCCGCCTCCATGAGCAGCAGCAGCGCCGCCACGGGCGTGTACAGCGCCAGGACGGCGTAGAGCTCAGTGCTGTGCCCACGAATGTACTGGCACAGGAGGGCAATTGTGCGTTGTTTTGCAAGGTTTCCACGGAGGAGTCGCAAACAGCAACAAGTATCCATGCGTGACGCGTCTTAGCGCTGCACCCGGCCGATCCTCCTGCCAGCCGCTGTGCTGGCTGAGCTGGAGGCCAAGATGTGGGTGGATCCCTGCTGTCGTGCCTGTCTTGGGCGGGCCTCGCATCGCACCTCCCACGCATGTGCGGTCGAGGTGTCGAGGAGCACAGGGGTGCAGTGGCAGAACTCCGCTCCCCCGCTGGCCTGGGATGCAAAGGCGGGTGAGATGATTGTCTGCCCCCTCCCCCCGTTCCAGCCCCAAGACGTCTCAGGAGGCGCCCACGACGGCCCAAGAGGGCCCCACAAGAGCCCCAAGCGAGGCCCAAGAGGATCTCCGAGAACGCCAGCAGGCGCGCAGCAGACGGCCAAGAGACTCCAAGAGGCCAAACAGATGCCCCAATAGGCCCCTCCGATGGTTCCCAGGAGGCAGAAGGCCTCACCCGTGGACTTCGCTTCTCCCCTGGGGTTCGGCGAATTAGCGCAGTCGCAGGTGGTGCGGATGCCAGTGCGTGTCGGTCCTGCCTTGAGCCGGCTGTACGCATGCATCAACGCAGGTAGGGACTGTCAACTGAAATCTACACAACCGCCCATGTCAAACACGATTAGGCCGTATACCCTCGGGAGTTAGCAAGACGGAAAGCAGCGGAGAAGGAGAAGGAGGGGGAACACGGATGAAGAGAAGGAAATGAAGCGCGATCGAGGCATTGTCCGAGACGATTGAGGAGGGCATGATAATCATGATGAGGACGAGAAAGGTGGGAGCTGAGGGGAGGGAAAAGTGAACGGGGATGGGAATGGAGATGGGGGAGGAGGGTGGGTGAAGAGGTGAAGGTGCGGGGGGAAGGGGTGAGAAAGGGATGGGGAAGACGGGAGACGAGGAATATCCGGAGATGCGGAGGCTGATGACGAGGATGAGGCGGATGAGGACGGGGCTGTGGGGTGGATGGAGATGGGGAGCATCAGGAGGAGGACGGCGACAGGCAGACGAGGACGGATGAGGATCAAGGAAGACAATGACGAAAATAGGGTCCTGAAGCGGACCCCTCATGCACGGGACCAGCCTGTTCAGGCTGGTCATCGAGCACCATGCCTGGCAGCGGTCTGGCACGACAATGCGAATGCCAACAGCAGCCGCCACGACCGCGGCGGCGACGGCAACAACAACAAATCCGCCCTTCTCATTGTTTTCATCCTTGCCGTTCCTCCCTACTCGTACATCCTCCGCTAGTCTTTCCATCTCGCCTCATCCATCCATCCCACCTCATCGTTCTGCCTCCTCCCCCCCTTCTTTGTCCCCCCGCGTACTTACTTCTCTCCTTCATCCTCCCTGCTGCCTCCTTGTCGCGCTCCTCATGACTCACCCTCCTCATGACACGCTTCTTTTCTTCCTTGTCATACTTCGATGCCTACTGGTCATATTCCTCTTCGTCCGCCTCGTCCTCTTCCTTCTCCGCACCTTTTCCTCACGCCCTCCTCCTCCTCCTCCTCCTCCTCCTCTTCCTCCTCCTCCTCCTCGTTTTCCTCCTCCTCCTCCTCCTCCTCCTCCTCCTCCTCGCTCCGCCTCCTGCTCCTCCTGGTCCTCATGCTCCTCCTCCTACTCCTGCTCCTGCTCCTCCGGCTGATCCGAGACCCAGGCACTGGCCCCTCGTAAGAGCCAGTGACCACCTGGGCCAGGCGTGTCGGCCGAAAGTACTGCAGGGATCTATTCACTTGTGCCGCAAGCGAAGCCCCCGCCTTCAGCGACGGGCCCCTTTCTCGATTCGGGTTGGTTGGAACACCCATGGGGTTAGCAGACACCCCCCCTGGGCACGCTTCGGCCACCCGCGGGTCGGCGAGTCCAGCCCCAAGGCGGGAAGGGAGGCGGAGAAGAGAGGGGGGAGACGATGATGGGGGACGGGGGGCGGTCGTCGTGGCGGTGGCGGTGCGGCCGCCCCTGCCAATCGCTCCACGCCGGCTGGGTCCTTCTCTTCCTGTTCCCCGGTGCCGTCGGTCTGGGGCTGGGAGCTGCTCCCGCCTCCTGATCGGACCCTGCCGATTCGCGACGGCTGCCTCCTCGCGCCCGCTGCCGCCTCCGTCCCTTCCTCCTCCTTATTTATCTAGTCGTCGTCCTCCTTCCCCTCCGCGACCACCTTGTTAATAATCTCCTCCACCTCGCCGCCTGCTCAGCGCCTCCCGGCGGGGGCCGCTGGGGATTTGTACAGCCACTGCGGTTTGCAGCGTGGCTGAAAGCTCTTGCCAATAGGCCGCGGCGTCCGCGCTGGCGCCCGCCGCCTGGCCAACGCGCCCGCCTTCTTCGACAACGAATTCGTTCGGAACGGCGTTGTTGGTCCGGGCGGGTAGCGAAAGTGTTTCCCTCGGGCCGCGCCCTCGGCCGCCAGGCCCGCGTGGGCTACCTTGGCTCTCTCTTCGCGCTCGTCAGCGCTGTCTGGGCAAGCTCCAGGAAATCTCGGCCCGTCTTCGGATCACGGCGCGGCCGTGCCCACCGCGGCACTGTTTGCTCAGTCTGCACCAAGCCCGAAACCCTCTTGGCGAGCCAGCGCGCCAGCAAATCACAAATTCGGTCGCGCCGGCTGGTGCGCGCGGGCCGCCTCTGGCACGCGACGATGCTGGTCGGGCTTGCGCAATGCTCCGCAAAACACCCCCTCGCGGGATGAGTTCTGACAGCGCGTCTGCAATGCATTGCCCTTCAGCAGTCGCGCGCCCTCCACCGGGAGGCGCCCCCGCAATGACAGTCGGTGCCAGTCCGCCGTCATTCGCTGCCTTGGCGCCGTGGGCAGCAAGGTGAAGGCCCCCGCTCCAAGGCCTCCGCAGGACTGAAGGCGGCCCGGCGCGCGGTCGTCAAGGCCGCTCTTGGCCCGCGCGTGCAGGACCTCCACGACGGGCCCCATCAAGTCATTCCGTCGGCTCCGCTCGCCCTGCGCCAACGAAGCCGACCTGGAGGCAGTGCGCCGCGTTGCCCACCCTTGTGATGTATGCAGACGCTGCCCTGGCGAAGTCCTGCGTGCCCGTGGCCTGTCGCGCCAGGGGCTCCCCTGCGCTACTCAAGCCCAGGGCGCGCGCGACCGCCGGGGCCGCAGCGCGCCGCGCGGCCACGCGGGCGGCTTCCCGCCGGGGCTCGGCGGCCCCCGCTGCGAGGCCGCCGTTCCGGAGCGGCAGGCGCGCGCGGGTCCGCTCGCGGTCGGTCTGGGCCTCGTCGAGCACAGCTGCTGTCCCGCAACCCCCGGGGGGCGCGGTCGAAAGCCCGCGCCGCGCGCAGGTCCACGAGCCGCGCGCGCAGGAGATGCATCGGAAAAGGATCTGCGCTGTCCAGCGGAGCATGGCGCCGGCAACTTGGGCCCCGAGGCCCGCGACCATGGCCTCGTGCGGGATACGGCCGAAAAGCCTCAAAACCTCCGTCACCTGGCCCATGGCCAGGGCGCCGCCTCCGGAGCCGGCTGTGAGCTCCTCCCAGTCGTCGTCCTGGCGGTGCGTGAGGTCGCAGCCAAGCGCGCGGAGCTCGTCTACCACATGAGGCCGCAATGCTGGGGGGCACGGGCGGCGGCCTGGAGGCTGCCGCACTTTCGTCTTGTCCGCGTTGAAGAAGAGCCCCGAAGTGTCGAGGCTGTCAGAGAGTGCTCGGAGGAACTGCTCAGCTTCTGAGGCCGGCACGACATCAACGACGTCATCGAGATGCGCCGTGACTAGCCACTGCGGGGCGCTGGCGAAGTGCTGCAGGGTCGACTGGCGGAGGGCTGCCGCGCGCGCCGCAGGGCTACGAGGACAGCCTTGGGGCGCGCCAGATCCAGTGCAGCACTCGCGCAGGTCGCCTTCATTATCTCGCCAGAGGCCCACCGTGGGATTCGCGAAGAGCCGGGCCAGCAAGCTGCCGTTCGGGCAGAGCCGCGCCGAGGGACTCGGCGAGGACGGCCTGGCGGGAGACCGCGCCGAAGGCGTTGGCGACGTCGACGGCGATCAGGATGCACCCTGGCCGGTCGCGCGCCGCGCTCTGACGCTCGGAACTGGGCGCCCGCGCCCCCAGGCACCACGAGCCCGCGCTGCAGCGGGCCGGCGGCGGCCCGAGCGGCATCCGCAGCGTGGGCGACAAATCCTGCGAGGACCGCGCGGCGGAGGGGGGCGCCAGGACCGTGAGGGGCCCCGCCGGCGGGCTTGCGGAGCGCGGCGATTGTTCTAGCGGTAAGCCAATCATCTACGATCGGCGGCGCGGTGCCTTCGATCCACGCGAGGGCGGCGTCAGTCAAGGCGGCGGCTGCGTCGACGTCGTCAACAACCGCGCGCCAATGCTCATTGCGACTTCCATCCGGCCCTGGCGCACGGCCAGAACGGGCATTCCGGAAGGCCTTGACGACGGCATCGCCCAGGCCCTGGCGCGCATCCTGTGGGAGGGCGGCAGCGGCGGCGTTCTGCTGCGCTGGGCTCCACGTGTTTTATGCTGCGAGGGGCTCGGAGCAAGTCGCGCGTGCCGCGTTCCGATGCCACGTGTCCAGTCTGGCGCAGGGTTGCGACCGCCCCCGCCGCCTGCCCGTCGTTTAACATAGCCCGGACACGGCGCAACTCGGACCTCACGTCGATTCGCTGCGTCCCAGAGCTGCTGCCACTCCCCGCGCCAGAAAGCCTGGGGGCGCGCAGCGATGTCCCGCTGGATACGCGCAGCCCGCGTGCCGTTGGCTCCGCGCCCGCCGCGTGCTCCTGTGGCGGCGAAGACAAGGCGGGGGGCGAACATGACCAGTTTCCAAGCTCGCTCTCGCTCCTGTGGGCTGCTCCCGCGCACGCTCTGTCGGAGAGCCGCGCCCATGGCTTCGGCCCAAGCGGACTGGAGGTTAGCCGGCGCGCCGCATGGTGGCTACTCGGTGGCCGAGGGCGTGCTGGACATCCACGCTGTCCCGCCAGCTCATGCGGCGGGACAAGACGAAAGGCTGGGGGCCTTCCTCATCCCCGTGAGCTGCTGCAGCTGGGGGGGTGGGAATTCCCGCGGGCTGGAAGGCCGGCTCAACCTCAGGCTCCGCAGCTGCTTCGCCAAGGAGGGCCCGCACGCGCTCGACCTCCTCCTCGGGAGCCCCCGGGCCCCGCGCACTGTCGCCGAACGGCGCCACCTCGCGCCCGCGCAATGCCAATGGCAGAACCGCGACACGCCCTGTGTCTACAGCCGCGCATCGCCGATGACGGACGCTTCCTTGCACGCGCTGCAGTGGGCTCGCCGTCCGCGACCCTGCTGGGAGACTGTCCAGGCCACCCCAAGCACGGGTAGCTCGCCAATGTCCATGGCGTCCGCTGGTCCAGGGTGCTCTCCTCCTGCAGCTGCTGCTGCAGCTGCTGCTGCTGCTGCTCCTCCTCCGCCTCCTCATCATCCAGCGCCTTCGGCGGCGCTAGGGCCCTCGCCGGGATAGCCAAGAGTCGCCAGCTGATGGCCAAGGCGACCGGGGCAGCTGAGGAGACAGGCGCAGCTGTGATAGTTTGGGCGTGGACCAGGCCTGTCGCAATAACACCCGCGGAGGCGGCGACGGTGAGGCTCAGTCCGAGGTGGGCCACTGCTCGGCCGTGCATCCACATGCGGTTCAGGGACTGGCGCGCGTCGAGCTGGGCAGCTGCGGCCCAGCCCGTGGCGAGACAAGGGTCGACGGCCACCAACGCCCGCATGGGCACCTCCACCGCGATGTGGACCATGAGGGCGAGCAACCACAGAGCGTCGCCCACAACAACCGCGAGGCCAGGCAGCTGATGATGGTGCGCTGCATTTGGGTTCGTGCCGCTCCAGGTCTCCGAGAGGAGGGCGTGGACAAGAAGGAGAATGCAGGCTCCGCCTCGGCGATGCGCGTGCCAAAAGAATCAGAGAGCCTCGGGTGCTGGGGCTGCCCAGGCGGCCAGGCCGATGGAGTCGCACTGCTGGTCGAAGTCGCAGTCAACGCAGTACCCCCAGTCCCGCTGGTGCTCGTCGGGCGTCCCGCTCCTGGATGTCCCAGTGTTTCTGGCCGTGGTGCGGAGCGACCCGGCGGCGATCGACGCCGTCGCACCGACCGTCGAGGAATGCCTCTTCTCGGTTCCGATGGTGTCGGGGCGGGTGGAGGGAGGACCAAGACGACGACGACCAGGAGG